ATAGTGCTTACGTAATACTTGAACGGCACCTAAATCACAAACGATTGTACCATCTTAAGCAAGGAACAGTGGCCATATGACCCAATAATCTGTACTTTTTTTCGAAATATCTGAACAAACTCATGTCACGAGATCTTGTTTGTTATATAAAATTTTAATTTTGTAAATCTTAGATCTTAGAAGTACCTATTTTCATCCAGGTTTTCCCTCTCGATGAGCCTAGATTGGAAAGCTCTCGTCCGCCCTATACGCGCATTTATGTTCGCTTCATAGAGCGGGCAGTGGCGGTCGATGCGTGCGGGTGCATTGGCTATTCAATTAAAAGCATTCCGGACGGCCAGTAAATCACATTGGAATCTCAATATAACCGCCTAACGTTATCGCATGCTCTATAATACATAATATGTGTATGAATACGAATACAGAGGACGAATGTTTTATTGTGCTCTGCTCCTGTGCGATGTCGTAAACTGCCGTTAATAAGACGCCCGCGAGATGAATATATCATCGTTTATGACCGAGCTGAGATGACGGGTATTAAAAAAATATTGAGGAAGGTTGGAAAAGAATCTGGGTGATTTGTTTTTTATTGGAAAAATATATAGACTAGAGGAATTTTATTTGTATAGCAACAAAATATTGCATTATTGATATGTATGAGATTTTTTAATACGCCTCATAGAGAAATCGATTTCGCGAAGGAGCAAAGAAAAATATTTTCATCAAATTATTTATTAAATATTCTAGCTCTTGATAGTTAAGAAGAAATCCTCTGACATACTAACTTTCTTTAAAATTATAATAGCTACACAGTTTCCATGCTTTTTACCTTTAAATATTTTTTTTTATTATATTTTTAACAGCAATCAGATCCTTACGTCCTATGAGCTGTTGGGCTGAAACTTATCCTTACTTCGTATTTTTAGATGGTAACCCAATTGTTAATCCATCCATATTTGATGATTTTTGTTATTAGAATTAATCTAATAGGGCTGACTTTTTATTGGTGCAGCAATGCCGAGCAAGGGCTATTTTCACTTGGAAACATACTGCTATCTATATTTCCAAGTGAAAATCGTTGTCACTGCTGCCTGACAACAGGCTGCTCGAAGTGGGTATCGAACCCGGGACCTCTGAAACAAGTCCCGTCGCTCTTAACCGCTTACCTACGGGCTAGCCCTTAAATATTTTAAATGCATATCCTTTACTTTTTACTGCAGCGTTTATTTGTACTCAAGAATAGCGAGAATTAACAAAAAGATAACAATCCCTAAATAAAGTATTCCATAATAAATGCTCCAATTTGCATAATAAAAAACTATTAGACTTTTTCGTAGTTATTTCTTAGTAGAATGAGAACTCGGTGTGCGTGTTTATTGTCTTGATATTTATAATTAGCATTGTGCTTTGTACTAATTTATTTTTAGTTATGTTAATATGCCAGTTATTTTGACACGAATGTAACGACGTACCGTGTACTAAACTTGGCTAAATATTTTTACGCATTTCACAATCTCGTAGATTTATGCTACAATTATAATAATTTAAGATTGGCTTGCCCCGCTAATTGGATTATTTATTTTATTGTCGGACTAAATATGCAAATAATATAAAGTTCTGAAAATAGTACAATTCATGCTATTTAACTTCCCGTAGGGTAAGTTATTGTAATGGGCCGAAAATCGAAATTGAAAATTTTTACATTTCTCGACTTTTTAAAGGTATCTGAACATTTTGGCACACCTCACAAAAAATGGATGTGTGTGTGTGTGTATGTGTATGGATACAAATTTTCGTCCACGTTTTCGGCCGCACGGATAGGAAAATGTGCTGATTAGTTTTTGGCAAAGGCAGGTCCAGCAGTTACGGAGATAAAGAGCAAAGAGTGCGGAAAATAGAAATTGAGTTTTTGAGAGAACGGATCAACCGATTTGAATGATCTAAAAAACATTCAATTTGTAATGATTGGGAGAAGAGGTGATCAGGTTGGTAAAAGCAGGCCCAGCCATTTCGAAGATACAGAGCTAAATGTGCAAAAAATGTCAGTTTTTAAGGGAATTAAATTATTATATAATTATATAATTCTTTTAAATATTAGACAATGTTACAATATTTATAATAATTTATTTGAAAACATTCAGTAGTACTCCTCGAACATTTCGTTACGGTACGGGAAATTCCAGCAATTTGCCTTAAGGCACGATGCCATATACCCCACTAGTTATACGTTTGTATTAGAATAAATTGCGTATAAACTCAAATCATCAAAGAATCAAAGTTGGAGTTCTGTCTCTTCAATTTATTATAATTCATTTAATTAAAATTCAGTAGAAAATCAAATCAAATCAATCAAACTACAAATTTCATGCCACTATCGAATACATTTCAAAAATTTGAAGTTTGAAGTATAATGTGGATTATTATAAAATAACTTACCACCATGAGTTACAAATGATATGATACGTGTTTCTAGCAGCTTGTATTGGGTCAAAAATGTGCTAAAACTAAGATCAACTGTTACCAGATGATAATCAAATTCATATATTGTTAGCTAATCGGAATAATTTCTGGAGTATCAGAATCATTTGCACACATAGTACGAAATCCTCTTTTAAGAAGTAAATACCTTTGCAAATGACTATTCTTTTTATTATATATTTATATATTTGTGTGTGTGATTGAAATAAAACGATACTAAATTTCCTGATGCAAATGACGCCATAAACTTAAACGCAATTATATTTACTGCAAGGTAATCGCCCGTTCAGTGAGAGCCAATAAAATATGTTAACAAATTATAATCTGGTGCACCGCAATAAGACAAGACAAGAGCCGGGGATCGTTACTAAATCGGTCTCATTTTGGTACACTGGGGACACTCCCTAATGAGGTACGTGATTTTAAATTGACATTTTTCCCATAAAAATAATTCATACGTCGCATCGGTTGACAGCTCGGCGACGTGTTCGTAACACATGTGACGCCGCGACGGAACATTTGAGGCGATTCTTCCTTCTTAACAATATTTCCTTGTCACATGGGAGGATCAGGTCATATGAAAAAAAATTGAATACTATACACATTGGATACCATAAAATTAAAATAAATTCCATGGCGTAATCGACGCAATTCGACAATATTGATCAAAATCATGTTTCCAATTGAAAGTACCCTTTCGGGCACTGCGGTGTGCAATGGCAATGGGAAATATCTCATACCATTCTTTCCTGAATCGAGTTAGAGTTTAACTCAGCTCACGTACCTTCTCCTAGTGGCAGTACTACCCATTATAATTATTATTATACAAAAATTATCACAACATTAAAATACTGAGAAACGATCATACGAGTTATCAATTATTTTCTTTATGAATTTTCATTAGAAACTGTACTAATATTAAAGCGACAATTTGACAAATGATTTCGAATCACATTTCGTCGTTATATTTTTAAGTAATTACTTGACTTTTTTTTACTAATTACTACAACTAATATGTTGACACGTGTGTGAAATTATAAAACGGATCGTGAAAGAATAAGTTTTAATGAGTTTATCGTAACTCATTTGTGACAGCTAACATAAATCACTAAAGCAGATGATTTTTTAAAATTATTTCATTATATAGAAAAGAAATTTTGTTAGATAAAAAATTGCTGTATAAAATGATAAAAGTATTTTAGTCCAATTTTTATTGTTTTTTTTTCATATATTAATTTTCAATTAAAAAATATTATTTGAAAATATTACTTAGTAAAATAAAACACAGTTTTATCAACTTGAATATTATATGTATTGCACATTAATAAATAATTATTAAAATTACAATATAATACACAAATATATAGCAAATTGCCTTTAGCAATTAACTCAGTGTTTGAAGTAGTACAATTATGTACTTAATTAATATACAAGAATTTATTTTACACATGCGATAGTCAAAATTTTTACAATGCAGCTAGATATATATTATTTATTATTACATTGGTACATTGTGCATATTGAATTAACGTTTACAGACTAGATATTATACAAAGTTATATATTATAGAGATCAATTATGCACGTTATGCTTATTTATTCGCACCATTTTATTTTACTGATGCGTACCTGTTAACAAAAAAGTATCGAAAAATTTTAATATGTTTATATTACATTGAGAGGACATTGTTTTATAGTGGCCTATTAATGAACAATCTTCAGAAACCTTTTGAAGAACACTTTGAGAAAAGCATTCTCTCGTTTCTGTCATTGTCAAATTCAATAACATCACTACAGAATATTTGAAAGAGTATAAATAGAGTGATTTTCAAATTTCCATGATAAATGCATCATTCTGTTGAATGTTTTGTGATCATTTCTGTTTTTCTATGCAAAAATATTAGGGTGCGCCATCAGTATTTTATATGCATTACTATTTTAAAAACATTATTATATTCATTTAATCATTCTATTTATTTCAATTTTCATGGTCAACAGTGTTTGATACAATTTGATGCAAAAATCAGTAGATGACGGGCTAATACCCAAATTTAAGAACATGTCAATTGTTGATTCGCATACATAAAATGTAAGAAACGCTTTTTGGGCAATTTTTTCATTGTTCAATCTTTTAGGGATTAAATAATTTTGAGTTTTTTTGTTGATAGAAATATAAGTCAATATTCATATTGCAAGAATTCTTACAACGATATCATAATAATCGGTTCATGCAACCCATAATTTTATATTCCTTAATAAGGATAACAGTTTTTTATCTGCACTTAAACTGCATGTTTTATTTCAAACTGCATAATTAAGTTTATTTTTTAAGATTAGAAATAACACTTTGTGTTTAACCAAATGTCTTTTCATTAACAATGATAACATATGTATTAGTACTCAAGATTTATCACAATATAACTGTTTGTTAATAACTGTCTTATATTAAATTTAACACTAAATATTATTCTTCTTGATTATATTCTATTCCTAATTATTTGAGTCTTGATTTTTCATTTAATATTAAAACCAATATAAATCCTTAGAGCTTTCCTGAACTTGTGCTTCGAGTCCTGTAAAAGAAAAATAAATTTGTTAAAATAAAACTAGAGTTTATTATATTACATCTGTGTATACAGTTTTATCATTTAAATATAATTCGTTTTAATTTTATAAAAAAAAACAATAAGTAAACAATTTCGAATGTAGATAAAATTTTAATGCCACCTAAGCGGTTTTAATATCAACATCCCCAATATGTCCTTTTATTACATTAATCCTCTTGAAAGATATTAATAAATACTATGATATTAGTCATGATCGAAATAAATTTGACCTGTCGCACTGTCACGCCACAATTATTAGTCTGAATGACTTTTGCCTTTCGGATGAGAGATGATCCATAACAAAAGGATCACAGGACCCTTTTGCGTGGTCCTGTAAAGGGAAGATCATAGCGCACACGTGCGCTTTAGGGTCGCCTAGTACGCGGAAACATCGTGCTTTTATTTCCGCAACTTGGGAACCAGTAGCGTAGACGGGTGCCTTTGTTTACATTTTAACTTATTTAGACGCTATCTATACCAAATCGGTTTTGCGGTGTTTAATAGCTTTGTTTACAAATCATTAGGAACAGATAAGCAATTTCATTTGTCGTTAGAATTTAGTCAACAATATCTATTTTTATATTGATACCTATAAACATGTCAGTTGGTTAGTTAACTTAAATTAACATTCAATTTATTGTTTGGGCTCGCCCGTAGGTAAGCGATTAAGAGTGACGGGACTTGTTTTAGAGGTCCCGGGTTCGATACCCACTTCGAGCAGCCTGTTGTCAGGCAGCAGTGACAACGATTATCACTTGGAAATATAGATAGCAATATGTTTCCAAGTGAAAATAGCCCTTGCCCGGCATTGCTGCACCAATAAAATGTCAGCCCTATTAGATTAATTCTAATAACAAAATCATCAAATATGGATGGATTAACCATTGGGTTACCTTCTAAAAAATACGAAAGAAGGATAAGTTTCAGCCCAACAGCTCATAGAACGTAAGGTTCTGATTGCTGTTAAAAGTATAATTAAAAAAAAAATTAACATTCAATTTATTGTTCATACTACTGAGCCTTCCCGGGGCTCTGTGGCAAAAACTTTAGTCTTGCTTTTTACAATAGCCCGATATCAACCAGTAGTGATTTCAATTCTCACATGAAACTAAAGATTTAAAATATTGTTGCTCATTATTTTAGAGAAATTATAATGAAGCAAATAAATTAATTATAGATAGGAAAACAGTTGGGTTGACCTCTAAATAGTCACGTACCATAACACTGCTTATAGTATTCAAGAAGGGAAGATCATTAAATTCAAAAAATCAAAAATTAATTATTTTATTAATTATATTAATCATATTTGATAAGTATCTGACCAAAAATTTGTAACTAAAAAATCAAATATTACTTACAAATTTCAACAAATATGTTAGTTTTCATATAACCATATTCAAAAACAAAAATTTCTACTTTTGACGATATATTTTATACTACACTAATTAATCGTAATGTTGTATTTGTTATTGTGTGATTTTTAGCAAACCTGAAGTCTTGTAGACTTCAGGTTAAAATAAATGAAACTGAAATTGCCATAACCGAATAAATACTGCGATGAAATATTATAAATGCGTGCTTCAATAAAAACTTTGGTTTAGGGTAGAGCGGGGCTAGTTGAGCATAGGGGCAAGTTGAGCAATTGAAATATCTCGAAAACTATTCACTGTCCGTTTAGGTATTATATGGCGGAAAGATAGAGGTTTGGGAGAAATAAACATACCGCGATCGCTAGTGGCCGCTGGACAAATGAGTGAGGCTCACGAGCGTTTTGTTTATTTTGAGACCAAAAAGTAAAAAAGTAATTCAGCACGAGTTTTCGTCTGGTTTAGTCAAATGTTATTTATTTTTAATCAGGTAAATGTTATTCTTCCATATAATTATAGTACTTTTAATATGCGCAGAGATTCTGGGTATAATTCTCACGGTTTTTTTATAAACTCACTTTTATTTTGAAATTCCGAGTTGGGGTTAGTTGAGCATAGTTGCTAAACTTGTTCCGTCATTAAGACAATTACCATTAACTTCCAGAAATTAATTATTATTTTTAAGATTTAAGCTAAGTCAATGAGTAATAATATAAAGAAATAATGATTTTAAACAAAAATACTGAATACAATGGTAAAATAATTCCTAAGATACGATATTGTTTTGTTGATTCCACTTTTCGTTAATTATTCAAAGCAAATTACTATAAGTTTTGTTTTCTCTGTCAATAAATACTATAAATATAGAAATGGTTATTAAAAACTTATTTTATTTCATCACTAATCGACATTGAACCTATGATTTCATTATACTTTCTTAGTGCTCAACTTGCCCCACCTATGGGGTACAGTGAGCATAATTAACTTTTTGCATTTAAACAGCTATAGCTTTTAAATTTTACTTTCTACCTAAAATAGTATTAACACTTTTGTTAAGCGATAAACAACAAATCCAATAGCAATTTATTGAGACTTTTCATTGAGGAGCTACATCCGTTTAAGTAAAAATTTGCTCAACTAGCCCCGCCCTACCCTACTCATGAAGGTGGCAAGCGTTTTAATAAAAATTAATTTATAATAAATCTTTATTATTGGCAATTCATACTGTTTGATTTATCCATTTTGTGCATTATACCACACTTAAATATTTAACAAATTTCGCATTAACAAAATCCGCAAACAAACCGGGTACACCTGCATATCAAACACCGAACTACCCTATCGACCTATGATCCGGCGTCGCGTTCTCCTTCTTGTGACAAAAGCCCTTTTGACAAAAACACGAAGGGTCCACATTTAATTTAAAACATCCCCGACATCACCGCGTATGCTTATTGCATCCGTCAATAGTCCGTGAGTAATGTAGATTCTAGACAAATAATTCTAATATCTGTTACAAGGGCAATGGACCGTGTGCTTAGCTGAATTGTAATGTCGTGTGCTCGAGTAATATATGAACACACAACACTTGATCCGAGAGAAGAGGTGCTTGGTGGATAGGGATTCTAAACTTTAATCTCAAGTTTCGATAAAATAATTCTTGATAAAAAAACAAAATCTAGTGTTAGGTAACATTAATGTGGATGATAATAGTTAATTCGTAGTAATTACAAAATTTTAAAGTCAAATGTATCTCTATATCTTTACTTTCTTTAATTGTTAATTTTTAACTTAATTGGTTGTGCAATGCAGTCTACAGTTTGAACATACTTTATAATTGGCAAAGTATGGTTTTATTATATTAACTTATAGTACAAATATAACTTGTTAACTTCCCGTAGGGCAAGTTATAGTAATCGCAAAAAAATCGAAAATGAAAATTTTTATATATTTTTGCGTTTCAAAACCTTCTGAACATTTTGGCATACCTTAGAAAAAATGGATGTATGTGTGTATGTATGTATGTGTGTGTGTATGTGTGTGTGTGCGGATACAAATTTTTGTCGACGATTTTGGGAACACGGATGAAGCGATTTGAATAATTCAAAAAACATTCGATTCGTATTGATAAGGAGACGTGCTGATTAGTTTTTGGCGAAGGCAGGTCTAGCCGTTCCGAAGATATGGGGCAAAAAGTTCCAAAAACGGTAACTCAGTTTTTAAGAGAACGGAGCGTCCGATTTGAATAATTCAAAAAACATTTTACTTGTATTAACAAGATGAAGAATTGTTCAAATTTTTATGAAGGTTTAACGGTTTCGGAGATATAGTGAAAAAAGTAAAAAAAAATGCCATTTGGCGGTCAAAAATGATCATTAGACATATGCACATCAAATTATCAGATATTTTATAGAGGTTTTAACAATAGGTATAAATTGTGTTTATTTTCCTATGGGTTCCGTACCAATGTTTATCCGTAACACGGCGACGCAGCGCTTACGCGCTTCGATATTTTGTCTCTAAGCAGTTAAAGCAGTACGATTGCTTTGAAAAAAAATTCAGAATTTCCAAAATATTTCAAAATAAATTTTTCTTCAAAAAGTAAAAAAAAAAGTTTTTCAAAAAAAGTAAATTTTTTGTCAAAAATTTATAGTTTCTCAAAAATCTAATTTTTTCAGAGTAATTTTTTTTTCAAAATGTTAATCTTTTTAAAAAAAATAATTTTTGGTACGGGAAGTTCTAGCAATTTGCCTTAAGGCACGATGCCATGCGCCCCACTAGTAGTCTGTAGTTTAAATTACGTCTATATAAATATAATAAAATAGAGCGGATTTTTTTTTGTAACAACAACCACATGTTTTAGGTTTGATATCCACTTCATCCAACTTGATATTAAGTAGTAGTGATGACAGTTTTTACTTGAAATTTAATTCTGAAATTTCATTGTTTGGAAAAATAGAGGCATTATTACTGTAAGTATATTTAAATAACTTCACTATTATAAAACTCGAATAATGATCTTGTCAGAAAAAGAATTGAGGCGGGTTGCCTTCTAATTTATTTCTCTAAGTTAAAGAGTTTTGTTATTTTTGAAACGTAAAACTTTATTACATTGATTTTTTTTAATTTTTCTATTAATATAATAAATTTATATCTAATTTAGATATATTTAAATTTGGTAAAAGAAATAAACTTTTTGCAAATTTTTAGTATTTGAATAATAAAATAAAATTTATTTATTAAATTAATCTGAGTTTCAATGTTACAAAGATTGAGCATCTCCCTCTACTCCAGTAACCTGTGCATTGCGAATCATGCGTGCTGAGAGGACCGTTTTATTAGTTTGTTTATTGCCCTGGATGTTTTTTTAAGCACGAGCTTTTCGCGCTTTTGGCGAGGGTGCGAGAGGAACCGTCCGCCGTCGCATTATGAATGATTTTATTTGATCGTAAAATTGCACGTGTTGAACGGCATGGATCTTTTGTCGAACACTTGTACCAGTTTTGTTATCATGATCCGGTTGTATTTGAAGTTTTATTAATTACGTACTACATAATAAATTAATATATTGATATCTTGCTGTTGACCCTATGGAGATTT